CCAACACAAGATCGTGGAGAAACTAGGTCCGAAGGCGACCTTCCAAGCACCATACCAGCTCAGCCCAACAGAGCTAGCAGATATGAAGAAACAGATCAAGTATCTCATCAAGAAAGGACTCATCCAACCATCCACTTCACCATATGATGCCCAAGTACTCTTCACACCAAAACCGGATGGAAGCATGCGCATGTGCATCGACTACCGAGCTCTAAACAAGTAGACCATGAAAAATAAAATACCTGATTCCACGAATCGATAATCTGCTTGACTAGATTCGGCGAGCCACGGTATTTTCCAAACAGGACTTGCGGTCCAGATATTGGCAGATAAGAATGGCAGACAACTCCATCCACAAAATTGCTTTCCGAAATCGGTACGGGTCATATGAGTATCTGGTAATGCCGTTCGGACTCACCAACGCACCGGCAATGTTCCAAGCCGAAATGAGCCATATCTTGTGACCATTACTGGACGAGTGCATGGTGGTGTACCTGGATGACATTTTCATCTACTCACGTGATATGAAGCAGCACGTCGAACACCTGCGATATGCCTTCGAAATTCTTCGACGAGAACACGTCTACGTCAAATCATCCAAGAGCGAATTTGCCCTCGAGAAGGTAAAATTCCTAGAATACATGGTGAGCGCTCAAGGAGTCCATGTTGACCCGAAGAAGATTGAAGCCGTACGCACGAAGAAGACGCCAGAGAATGTGAAGGGTTTGCAGCAGTTCCTAGGCTTCACCAACTATTAGAACAGGTTTGTGCCACAGTACGAGAAAATGGCTGCACCACTCACAAATCTGTTGAAGATGAACACACCCTACCAATGGGAATCAAAACATCAGGAAGTCATGGAGCAAATGAAACAGGCTCTTACGTCCACACCAATACTCATCTTGCCAGATCCCAAACGCAACTACGTCATCGAAGCTGACGCCAGTGACCACGAAGTGGGAGGATTCTTGATCCAAGACCAGAGGAATGGACTGCAACCAATCACCTACCACAGTAAGAAACTACACAGGGCATAACTAAATTACTCGATACACGACAAAGAGGACCTTACTATTGCCAATGCCTTCAAGACGTGGAGATGTTATCTCGAAGGACGAAAAGCGACTCTCTACACTGACCACTGCAGCCTGAAAAAATTGAAGGCACAGCCAAATGTCTCCAAGCGACAGGTCCGGTGGATTGACTTCCTCGAGACACACTTCCACTACGAAATCATGTACAAGCCGGGACACGAGAGCAAAGTAGATTCCCTTTGTTGGCCTGCACACATTGCCGCTATCCAAGTTGAAGGGATGAACCCACTACTCAAGGGACTCTTTACACACGGGTACACCATCGAATTCGAGATTCCCTTGGCAGATAAGTGACATCTACAACAGTGGAACAGTGACATCGTGTGCCGAAAAGGATCAACAAAAATCTGGGTACCCAACTACCCACCTGTGCGCCAATTACTACTCGAAGAATACCACGATGTCCTGTACGCCGGACATTTTGGTAGCAACAATATGCTCTCCGGTGAAATAGAGAAGAAATAAAAAAATGAGAAAGAAGTGTAACAGGGTCATACCCTCACACTTCCTCCCCTCAAAGATGGGTGGTAGAAGTAACACTCAGCTTGACAAGGTAGTCGCAAAGAGGACGACGAGCGTTACCCATGTTGGATTCAGGGACCCAGCTATCCTCGGAAGGATCATAACCCTTCCAGTGGATGAGAAGCTCCAGGGTGCCATGTCGACAACGATGGTGTACAAGCACGGACTCAACCTCGTACTAAGGTTCGTCATGCACAAGGATGGGCGGCGGCGGCGGCGGTTGGCGTCGAGTGAAGATCGTGTTGGGATCTCTGTAGGGCTTCAGAATCTGGACATCGAAGGCGTTGTGAATCTTCCAGATAGCGAGAAGGCGTAAGCAGAAGGTTACGGGGGTGACCTGGGCTTCAATGAGGAAAGGGCCACAGAAGTGAGGTCAAAGTTTGGATGGGAGATGGCTGATGTCGAAATTGCGGGTGTTGAGTAGAAAACGGTCTCCCACGGTAATGGCTTGGTCATTGCGGTGGTGAACGGCCTTGCGTTTCTCTAGCTGTTGAATATCGATGAGGTGCTTGTAGGTTCGATCCCAAAATTCATGCATGGTGGTGATGAAATCATGTGCGGGTTGAACTTGAGCTGGTGCTGTTGGTTTCTGTGGTGTGTGTGGGTTGCGTCCATAACAGAGGAAGAATGGTGTTTATCCGGTAGCGGCATGAGTGGCGTTGTTGCAGGCACCAAGGCTGGTAGATGTCAGTACCACTTGGAGATGCCGTCCTTCCATGCTGCGCGGAGGAGTTGCTCTACAATTTGGTAGAGGCGTTCGGTTTGTGCGTCTGTCTGTCTGTGGATGGTATTCAGATGGCATGGCAAACTTAGTCCCGAGCAGAGACATCCGTTCCATCCAGAACTTACTGTCGGGTTTCGGTCGGAGATGACTGTGGTTGGAATGCCATGCTGGGAGATAATGTAGCGAACGAACAGCTGTGCCGTCTCCTTGGTGCGTGCTCTCATGTGTGTCGGAATGTAGTGTCCCATTTCAGAGAATTTGTTGATGATGACAAGCATTGTGTCATGCCGTTAGTGGTAATTGGTAACCCAGTTATGAAGTCCTGGCTAACTACTTGCCATGGCTGTTCTAGGATAGGAAGAGGCTGTATTATTCTTGCTTTCTACTGCTTACTACTCTTCATCTGCTAATATGTGTCGCACGAGGTGACGAATTTCTGTACATCATTTGCCATGTGGGGCCAATAGTAGTGCTTATTATCTTGATTCATTTGGTCTTTGTCTCATCTCATTTGGTTTCTTATTCCTAATTTTCCATTATCCTTCGGGTTATCCTATTGTTATAATTATATCACTGACCAGGCTCAGAATGTACTGGCGCGCTATATCTAGCATAATCTTGCCGTAATCCCTTAAAGCCAATAGCCTCGCGTGGCTATGTATACAGGGGTGGTTTTATTTCTAGAAGGGTCTATTCCCCTTGGATAGGATAAACCTAGTTACTCGATGTACCTTGGAAGTATAAAAGCGCCTTGTATCGATCGATAGTGGAACTTTCTCTTCACCATTTTGATCCAGTGATAGTTAGACTCTTTATATTCCCTTGCAAAATTTGTAAGCTCTTTATCAAGGAGATCCTTGATATAATCGATCACTTGTTCTCACATACGAGTACAAGGGTTCAACTCAGACTTCTGTTGTGCTTTCAAGCATTCTACGTACAAAGGACTTAGTCTTTGCCAAAGATCCCTGGGCTGTTCTATGCCCAAGATGGTGTGCGGCCTAGTCTGAGACTCGGTTCCTACTACGAACTCTTTCGCTTTAGTTTCTAACGCTACTACATGACTTTTTGCTCGTGCACCACTTTCAATTATCGAAAGGTACAAGACACAGCATGGCACCAACTAAAAACGTGGGATCCTCCTTTGGATCATCCGGCATCGATTTGGTCTGTTCATTTTGACCATTAGTCTCACGGTGATAAGCTGATGAGAACCTTTAGGCGTGTGCCGAACAGTGCCCAAAGATTGTGCCGAAAGTTGCTACTGATCTGTTAGAGATTGGGCCAAAAGTTGCCAGTGAATTTGTTGTCGCAATCTGAGATAATGACCGTTCATACTTTGTGCATTTGTATGATCGTGCTGATGAAAAGTTGTGCCGTTTCTTCAGTGATCGTGTTTTTTTTTTTTTTTTTTTTTCGTGGAGCAAAATGCGCCATCTTTGTCAGCCTATTAACGACTACCATCTTTCGCTTCTTAGGTAACCCTATAACAAAGGCCATCGTCACTTGCTGCCAAGCTCACTCGAGCGATGAGATTTGCTGGAGCTGGCCGTTGGGAAGATTTCACTCTTTCACAGGTCCAGCATGATGCCACATGACTCTGAATGTTGTTCACCATGTCGGGCCAGTGGTGATACCACTGCAGCTGTGTTTTCATGTTTTCTACCCCAAAATGCCATGAAACTGTACAGTTATGTGCCATGTGCAGTAAAGACTCTAACAAATTGTAATCCAGCACTAAGATGCCAACAGTCCCGCTCTTACACCCCTTTAATCACTCCCAGCTGTTGGCAATCTCCCAACATAAAGAATCGATTCATCTGGTTTTTGTGGGTAAATAGCCCTTTTGATAGCGGGGAAGTTTGGGCATGGATGATGGAGTTGAGATGAGAAGTTGGGCGAGTTAGCGGGTCGGCGATGCTGGATGCACCATTCTTGAACGTAACACTGTAATGGAAATTCGATTCCATCCAGCCACCGAATCCGTCATAGATAGAGGAGTGGTTGGGCGTGGATGTACGCTTCTTTGGTCTGTCCATACCATAACGTCAATGACAGTTAAGTAACAACGCTAGATTTTGAAAGCGTGCACGATTGCGAGCATCTCTATGTCGTGTATCTGGTAGTTGCGCTTGTGCAGGTGCAACTTCCTTAGCTCATGCACGATTGGTTGCCAAAATTTTGAAATAGTACAGCGCCGATGGCGGTGTCACTCATGTTATTCACGACTTCCAATGGATGGTGAGGATCTGCTATGGGAAGGATCAATGGTGAGCAAAAAAAGGACTTGAGAGCCGAAAAAGCAGCCTGCTCTTTCTCCCGTCAACTGTACTTCACCCCTTTTTGAAATAGGTCAGTCAGTGGCACAGTTACCCTTACCATATTAGCGATAAACCACCACACATAATTTACGAAGCCAAGGATACTGTGAATTTCTCCTGAATTCGTTGGTGGGTTCCATGCCTGAACTGTCTCTACCTTGAAGTCTACTTCCACACCCTTAGCAAAAATCACGTGCCCTAAAAACTTCAGCATGTCCACTTAAAACTCACACTTAGACCCCTTCATAAGCAGTCGGTGCTCTTGCACTAGTGTGAAAACTGCTTCAAGATCCTTGAGGTGTTGCTCCCATGCAGTATTGTTAATTAAAATATCACCTAAATATACTATCACGCACTTATCTAATAGCGGATTGAAAACCTGGTTCATGGTCATTTGGAAATGGTGGGGGCGTTGGTGAGGCCGAAGGGCATAGTTACATAATCGTAGCTACCGTAGCTAGTCCAAAAGGTGATCTTGTTATTATCCTCGGGTTCGACTCTAATCTAATGGTAAACCCCCCCGCAGACCAATCTTAGAATATGCACGGGCTGTGCGAAGTTGATCTATCAGTTTGTCGGCTCTCGAGATGGGGTAACGTGACTTAATGATAATACTATTTAATAACATGTGGTCGATACACAACCAATTATCATATTTGGTGTAAACATGATCAGTGCGTATGGAAAGGAGCTAGGGCAGAAGAAAAAATGTTGGTGAGAAATGGTTATTAGTAGGTGATTGCAAGGCTTCATAGAAATTTAGCCTTGGAGACTGGCTAAACTTAGCCTTGGGCTGCTCCGTGAGGCGAGTAAACCGACGAACATCGTGATGCTGCATATGAATTTCCTTGGAAATATCAGCGCACAGCCCTGCGAGGCACTTGTTGTATAATGCAACGAATCTGCAGTTGTAGTCTTGGACCGATCCAAGCTGGCACCAGGTGTGAAGTTTCTGTCGCACCACGATGCTGATGTTTTGTACTTCGAAACGTCAGACCCTTGCTCACAACAACCTCGTACATTACTGGTTCGAGTTGCGCGTTGCCCCCTTGGGTAGCCTCGGTGTTGTCGAAGTTCGCCATCCTGTTCAGAACACGCGCGGAGGGGTTAATTAAAAAAACACGGAGCTGATGCTTATTTGACGCCGAATTAGTCGCCCCCCGGCGGGTTTTCGAGGCAGGTTTTCCTGCTGCTGCTGCTGCTTAGCTGAGCGCGGCCGAGTGAGAAAAGCTTTGATTACCAAGTGTTACAGGAACGAATTTGTCGAGGAAAAGTTGCACTACCGAATAATACAAGGCGCTTTTATACTTCCAAAGTACACTAGGTAACCAGGGTTGAAGTTTGGAGTGTCCCGTCCACTCGCTGCGGTGTATTTGGTTGTCGCGCGAGGTCAGCAGCATGTGCAGCTATTCTGTCACCGGTCTACGCAAGAATGACACAGCATATCTGATATGCATGCTGACGTCATTGACAGGGTTCGCACAGTAAAAAACGTTCGCTGTGAATAGCCACACTATCACGGATGGTGATCCTCAGACAATTGGGTCAAAGCAAAGTGGCCACTGCATTTTGAGGAGTCTTGTTGAGCTGCTTGCATTGGTAGGACTCTGCGAAATCTTCTCTCGTGTTACAGCCCTGACAAAAGGTGTACCCGCTCGTCGGCTGGGTTCTGCAGGCAGTGGAGTAGGCGGTGGAGGTGGAGTTTGGGAAGTAGCCCATGTCTATTTGCATATAGAGGTATCCAGCCAGTCCACTTTGGGCCTTCCCTGTCACAGGATCGAATGTGTCGAGGAAAGGTTGCACTATCGATTGATACAAGGCGCTTTTATACTTCCAGAGTACATCAGGTAACCAGGTTTATCCTATCCAAAGGGAATAGACCCTTCTAGAATATAGAATCACCCTGCATATAGCCACGCGAAGCTATTGGCTTTAAGGGATTACGGCAGGATTACGCTAGATACAGCGCCCAGTACATCCCAAGCCTGGTCGGTGAAATAATTATAATAGCAGGATAAACCAAAGGATAATGGAAAAGGGAGAATAGGAAACCAAATGGGATGGGATAGAAAGAGAAATGAAATAGGAAGGAAATAAGAAAAGGCCAAGTGGTGTAATGGGGTCGTACTCTCATACTTCCCCCCCTCAAAGCTGGGTGGTAGAAGTAACACCCTGCTTGACAAGGTAGTCATGCAGAGGACGACGGGCGTTACCCATGTCGGACTCAGGTACCCAGCTGTCCTCAGAAGGATAATAACCCTTCCAACGAATGAGAAGCTCCACGGTGCCATTCCGACGACGGCGGTGTGCAAGCACGGACTCGATTTCGTACTCGGGTTCATTATGGACGAGGACGGGCGGCGGCGGCGGCGGTTGGCGTCCGACGAAGATCGTGTTCGGATCCCGATAGGGCTTCAGAAGTTGGACATGGAAGGCATTGTGAATCTTCCAGGTAGCTGGCAGGCGTAAGCGGAAGGTAACAGGAGTGACCTGTGCTTCAACGAGGAAAGGCCCGCAGAAGCGAGGTCGAAGTTTAGATGGGAGATGGCTGATGTCAAGATTGCGTATGTCGAGAAGCACCTGGTCTCCCACGATAATGGTGTGGTCATTGCGATGGCAATCGGCCTGGCGCTTCTGTTGCTGCTGAATGTCAAAGAGGCGCTTGTGGGTCCGATCCCAAAGCTGATGCATGGTTGTGATGAAGTCGTGTGCCGGTTGGACTGTTGCTGATGTTGTCGGTTTCTGTGGTGTGAGTGGGTGGCGTTCATAGCAGAGGAAGAACGGCGTCTGTCCAGTAGCGGCATGAAAAGCGTTGTTGTAGGCAAACTCTAAAACGGGCAGGTGCAAGTCCCATTTGGAGATCTCGTCCTTGCAGGCTGCGCGGAGGAGTTGCTCAACAATTGGTTGAGGCGCCCGGTCTGTCCGTCTGTCTGCGGATTGTAAGCGGATGACATGGCGAGTTTGGTCCCGAGTAGAGACATAAGTTCCTTCCAGAACTTGCTGGTTGGAATGCCATGCTGTGAGATGATATATCGAACG